GGATCAAGCACACGGTAGGGTGCGGGGAGCTCCACAAAGTCGGCTGCGAGGATGAGTCTTCCTTGGGGCTCGAGGTCAAGGGGCCAACTTTCAACCATGTTGCGCAGGCGGTTCGTCACTTGTGGCTTATCTGGGATAGGCTCATCCATGGAGCAGATGTTTGTAATGATGTCGCGGGCTTTGAGCATCGATTGCAGCGCGGGATGTGTCATGGGAAGACAGCTCACAATCTGGTCGATGAGCAGACTGTATCGGGGAAGACGCTGAACGGGTTCGATGAGAATTGAGCGAACAGTCTGCTCGCCCGTCTGCAGAACCCGTTGACGGAAGCTCGACTGCTGGTCCAGGAACGAGTTGAGAAGCGTGGGGAAGTGCTGGCTGGCGCGAATGTACTCCTGGTAGCAGTCTGTGAACTTTGGGAACCACTCGAGGAATACCCTCGCGATCGCCAGTGCGCCTGTGGGATCCTTCATCTTGGATGGCGACCCCAGCCTGGATCCCGTCAGTGCAACCGTCGTCACCTCCATATCCCTGACGGCCTCCTCCTCGGTGTCGTCCATAATCTTGCGCAGCTCCTCCATGAAGGCAGAGTTGACCTGTAATATCCTATCCGCCGACCGTGGGAAAAGCTTCTCGAGCTCTTCTTCGGAGGGGCTCAGGCTGCTCGGGTCACGCTGTTTCGCAGATTGTCTAAAGTCGTCGGCGATGTGCTTCACCAGCTCATTCAGCTTCAGCACGTATCTCTCCTCCGTGTCGACCAGCTCCCCGAGCTTCATTCTCAGATCCACCTTTTGATCCTTGGAGAAGGACTTGCTGCGATTCAGCGATGTCGGCTTAGAAGGCGCCCGCCGTAATCTGGAGGTGGGTAGGAAGAGAGGCTCGCCGAGCAGCTTCACCAGTGATGTGTATCCTCCATATTGCCGTAGAGTTGGGTCCAGGAACTCGTCGTCATCCTCGGGCGCGTCGTCGAGATCTTCGGGTTGCAGCGGCACAATGGAGCCGGGAGGCAGGACAAAGTCGACGTCCACGTTGCTCAGGTGTTGGGTCTGCAGGGCGGTCTGTAACGTCTCGAGAACTTCGACGGTGTTTTCGCTCTTGATCATGTTCTTGGCGAGGTCAGCAGCGTGCTGCTCGCCAAAGAGGGCCGGCCCACTCCCCGGGCGGCGCCCCCTTGTGGTCGGGTATGTGTTCTTGAGGTGGTTCTTGACGACCTCGGGCAGCTCCTGGAAGTACTTGTACAGGCCAAAGGCGAGGCCTCGGTAGATCTCGTCGCCCTGCCATTCGCGCGGCAGGTGGTTGACGACGGCGTAGAAGGGCGAGTTGGGTTGGATGGTCAGGCGCGGGAACGACTGATAGCCGGCGGGGCTGTAGACGTGGATCTGGACGCGGGAGCTGTTGAGGGTGTAGTTGGCAGTAGTAGAGGCGCCGTGGAAGATGAGGACAGGCAGGTGTCCGAGGAGGGGGTCGGAGGCATGGTATAGAGTGAGCTGCTCTGCGGACAGAGCCAGCTCCTCGGTGACACGAACCATTGTCGGGGCTGGCGATGCGGTCGATCGGTCGGTCGGTCGCGTGGGCTCGTTTAATGGGCCAAGGTCATTGCTGACTGGGCGCTGACCGAAACACGCAAGGCAAAGGAAAGTTAAGAGCCGTAAGGGGTGTAGGAAGTCGGCAAACGAGTGTATCGGTTTCGGTGTCCTGTGGTGTGTGTGCGTGTAGTGTGTGTGTGTGTGTGTGTCGACCGCGTCAGGCGCAATGTGGTGGTGGTCGAGCCGAGTCGAGTGGCGGTCGAGTCGATGACTGAAGGCCAAGGGTAGCACCGGGCGTTCGCGATGCGACTGTCGACAAAATGGAAATAAGGCTTTCGACGTGCCGGCCAAGGGAAGAAAAAAAAGAATCAGGGGGTAAAAGAGCGTGAGGAAAAAAGTTGGCAAATTGCCAGGTTGGCTAGCGCGACCAAAGTTGGATAGATGAAGATTGCAAGCGCAGCGATAATTACCTATCGTGTGGTGGGAGTGGTGGTGGTGGTGCTGTCGGTGTCGGTGTGAGTTGGCTGGCGTTGAGCGCAGCCGGGGTCGAGTCGAGTCCGTGGGTTTGGTTGACCTTGGGACTTGGAGAAAGCAGCGGGCAGCAACGGGGGACCTCAGCAACGGCAGCAGCAACAGAGCCCAGGTATACAGCGACAGCAGCGGTGGGGATCCGTCAGATAGGTAAAGTAGGCAATGTCAAGTAAGGTAAGGAACTCTGTAAGGTAGCAGTGTATCCGTAGTATGAAGGTTAAGGCCTGAATGAACCGGGCTGGACTGGGCGGTCTGTAGTCCGTGGGGCGCTGTATGCTGTGTGTGTTGTTGTTTGTTGTGATTGCGATGGAGCTGCAAGCAAGAGAGGTGAAGCCCAATCCAAGGTTGATGGAGTGTAATACCGTAAGGCAGAGGGGTCCTGGTCGGGGTCAGGAAGAAGGCCCCATCAATGATTAAACAGCAGCACCGCAACAATGAGATCCTGGTTCAATCTGGCTGCCCTCTCTGGCAACTTTGTTGAACCCTTTGTTGACCCTCAACTTCTGAAGCAGGCCAAAGACGCAGTGAAACAAGAAAACCAGCCTCTTGTCCTCCGTCAGCTTCCTAGTGGTTGTGTCCTTTTTTTTTTCTCTTCCTGACTAGGTTTTCTTGGGCTGGCTTCCCTCTGTGCCTCTTCACCGACACTCCCATGCAGATGCAAGTAAGTGGACGAGAACAAAGAGGGTTAGAAATGTGACGGGGGGCGAGAGAGCGGGAGAGGGAGGATGACGAAAACGCCAGACAAGGGGAGGGAATTAAGCGACGAACGCCTCAGTCCTGGACTCGGGCTAGACTCTTTACCTTGTCGATGAGAGAATACACTGATAATTCCAAGATCTCTATGGACAACAACAGTACATCAACAAACCATATAATATCCGGACTAAAAAGTCAAAAAAGAAAAGAGTCCTAGACGACGGAATAAACACCCACTATTGACTGGGAGTCGCGTGCTATGCCGACCACCTTGGATCTATTGGCTGACTTAAATTAAGATGCCTATGGTACTTACTTCTACTATCTATCTACATCTTGAATGTTCCGAAATGCATCTTACCGCAAGTCCGTGATAGAGAATTTTTCACCAATTGCTTCTGTGACTGGATGCTCACAAACAGCAAGATGCAGGTGCAGGCAGGTTCGGACTTTCAGCATCGCATCGCTCCTCCCCTCTCTCGCTTTCCACCAGAAAAAAAGTGGTCTCGAAACGTCAACATAAACAGATCCAACGCGCCCCGCCCATCGCCCACGACGCGTCCACTCAGAGCCGTCAAAAGGTGCACTCAGGTTCCCCACCCGTAACCTTGCCGGACCAGCAACAGCCGCACTAAAACAAGGCACTCGGGCCCATGGTACGTACACGTAGGTATCGAAAAAGCTCGGATACTCGATTCTGCCCAATCATGCATCTTTCGATCTTTCAGCCCCACTAGATCCCCTGCCAAAGTCGATGCAGCCAATGGCGAAAGCTCCCCATGAACCCCTCCTCCTTCCTCCCATGAATCCCATCGCATTCCGTCCAATCTAATCGGCTCTCCGTCCCAAAATCTCCAAAAGACGTCTCTTTTCCCACCCCGCACCGATTACGCGACTGCTGATTCGACCTCACATCCTCATATCAAAGTTTCACCGGGCTTTCAGATTTCACTCCATCAACAACGTCGTATTTCCCATAGAAGCATCATACCTCGATACTCAAAAAACATGTCTACCCAAGACCCCGGTATCCCCTTGACCCATGCCCCAGACGCCAGAGGCTACAAGCTCATGGAGCTGCCCCCCGACCTAGAAGCCCTGCTCACTGCCGAAGATGCTCCGGTGTAAGTCAACCCACTTCACCCCTCCGTCCATCACTCAACCCCCCCGGCCGTGCCTCAGTCCACCTTGAGCCTCAACACGACATCTCACTTCACCTCACCTTACTTAAACCATATTTCCCTTCTCCATGTCTCACTTACCTTCATCGTATAACCATTCCCTTACATCCATCCCCTCATCTACAATCCACGTCACCTCTCTCACTCACTCATCACTCATTTACTGGCTATCTCACTCACTTGCTCACTCACTAACACACAACAGCATAACCCTCACCTCAACCCCAACAACAGCCCTCCTAAAAACCCCAGACAAAACCTACAAACTCCTCCAGAAAAACACGTCAAACTCTCTCATCCTCCTCGCCCCTCACTCCACCGCACCCTCACCGAATTCCTCGGACGACAGTATCCCCGTCACCGGCCTAGCCGCCATCGCCACCATCCACGAAACCATCGAGCTCGTCGCCCAGACCGAGCCGCAGACGATATCAAATCTCAAAAACACTGGAAGCAAGGGGAAATGGCACGAGAAATTTGGTCGGGGGCGGTGAAAATCCTGGACATACACACACTTACATTTACACGCGCACATCGTATATCTCACTGACCAATTCCTTTACGATTAACACAAGACTTGGTAAACTGTCTGCTTTTTAAGTACCTGGAGCGTGCGATGCTCCATAGTTCACACACCCACGTTTCACATTCCATGTATCTGCTTCACAAAAAAAAAACCCATTTTCATCAACGGGAGACTTCATTGATGGTATCTCAAATAATGTATACCATGCTGGCATGGCACTCGCTTCCACCCTCCCCCTCCCATATGAGTGCCTCGATCAATGCTAGAGTAATGAGATGGAGATACCCTCCAACGCTGTGCTAATTGTCATCCGGTAATCACCCTGATGAAAACCGCCTGAAAAGTAAACAAAGTAATAGGAAAAGGAAAACGCAAGATAACAAACTCGTATCCTGCCTTCCACGAACCAAACAAAACCACGCTTCCTCGTTCATGTGATGTGGTAATGACCACCCAACAATGCTAACTTCCCATCGCTTCATCGTCGTGTAAAGACAATTGTGTACGAGCAGAAATAGGAAGAACCCCGGAAGACGGCAATCAGTCCATCTTGATAGGATGATCTCTGCTTCCTCCGGGAATACCATTCGCCCCGCCACGGTAAAAAGCACGGTGAAGAGCAAGCTGTCGTTGAAATTCGTGACCTGCGTCTATAGCCCGTTGGGCTGCTCGACTCACGGGTGCCGGATGCTGAACTTGGGACCCATCTCGATTCGTTTTGCCGGCCACAAACTCTGCAAGTCCGCAATTGGGGTGGGCTAAAAATTGAGCTGCAGTCATTTTGGCGCTGGCCTGTTGCGCGGGCTCTTCAGGTCGTTGCGGTTGCTCCCCGGCCTTCTCATCAATGTTCTGTCTCGCCAGGATGTCGGGAAGCCGCTGTGCATTCTTATCGCAAAACTTGTGCCTCTTCAACTCTCTAGGCTCTCCGTACTCTGGACCCCATCCCTCTTCAAAACCCAAGTAGTTAGGATTATTGAGTCTGGCCTGGCCGGGTGGCGCGATGGCCTGCACTACCTGATTCACAGGCTGAGGAGCGATTATCGGCGGGTGAGGCGCAATCATCGGCACTGCTTGGGCTGCGGGCTGGTAAAGCACGCGAGGCGGGTTAGGATTATGAAACACCGCTGGCCGACCTTGTTGAACCGCTGGCGGCGGTGGTACTGGGAATGGTTGCAAGTAGGGAAATCTGGGATGTTGCGCATTAAATCTGGGATGTTGCGCATTTGGGAAAGCGGCTCCAATGATTGGGCGGTGCTGCTGATCGAGCATCGGGTTGGGATTATGGCCCTGAGGGTATTGAGCCTGTACCGGACCCCTTTGCATCTGCTGATTCGCGACTCCAGCAGCAACATTTGCCGGCGGAACCATCGCATGAGCCTGTGGCTGTGGCATCATCGGCCGAGGTTGAAAAGGCCCGACCGCGTTTGCGGGAGGCATGCCAACAACTCGATTCATCCCGGGTGGGACAATCTGGGCCTGAGGATTTTGCGGTGGAAGCTGTTGTCCGTAGGCAGCTCGCAGTGCTGGGGGGTTCTTGGAGACCGCCGATGCCAGTTTTCCCGAGTTGACTTTGAGAAGGTCTTCCTTTGCCTTCATCGAGGGGTGTCGCTCGAGAATATCTTGACGGGCTTTTGCCTCGGCCTGTTGCACTTCCTCATTGTGGCGTGTGTTGACATCGTCAAACAGGGGACAATTGCCTTTCTGTCCACCTCTTGCCTGGTCGTCAAAGTGGGCGTAGTCGCATGACTTGGAACAAACGTAGCACTGGACGTTCCTACATCCACGCTTTGTACAGGTCATCTTGTTGCACCCTGATTCTTTGACAAACGCCATGCCACCTGGGTTGGATGTCAGTATCATGTGCAATCTAATCAATTGTCTTGGTTCAGTCGCCAAAGAAGCAAGGATACTCACACTTGTTGCACTTGCGGATGAGCGCACTGGACATGGCCTCCTCAATTTGACGCCGAGCACCTTCTGCGCTGTCTCCAGCAGCTTCGTCACATGTTCTGGGTATATGGGTCTCTTCTCTGCAAAGCCGGCAGCTGACCACCTGGCAGTCGGGATTCTCGCACTTGAACTCCTTGTTGATATCGACCGGTGGATACTCTGCGGCATAAGGGCAGAAAGGACAGGTCTCCAGGCCGTCAATGCCAGCCATGCGGAGATTAGCCTCAGATTCGATACGATCCAGGGCTTGACTAAGTTGGTCATTGATGAACTTGGAGCGTTCTTTGTGAGCGAAACCAGAATCGCATCCATCTATGGACATGCAGGTAATCTCATACTTTGAGAGGCCAACCACTGTTTCAGCGTTGCGGCGTGCACATTCGAGACAGAAGAACTTGAAAGGGTTAGCAAAAGTCTGAAAGAATGGAGCGTCATAAGCTTACATGGTTCCCATTCTCGCAACGGACCATGCGATTGAGAGCGAACTCGCTATAACAGCAGCCACAGTCCGTAAAACTGCCAGTCGCCTTTGCTATCTCAAAGTTGGCAGCTTCTCTGGCAGCCTCGAATCTAGCTGCATCGAGCCTGTTACGGGTAACTATCAGCACTCGCCGGGCGGCCACCAGTTCATCCAAAACTCTCTTTTCTTCGTGAGTCGCCGTTTCGAGAAGTTCAGCCATTTTCTGACCCGCGAATATACGATCCGATGGTGGGGTTGGTCTCTTCTTGAGCGCAAAGCCGTAAGGGAGACCTTCTTGGACACCGTTCTTCAGATCCTCAAGAGCTTTGTCGACGGCAAGGTACGTAGGCAGCAGTTTGCAGGCGTTGTCGTAAAAGATCTTCATGACGCACTTCTGGATAACTTGAGGGAAATCATGCTTCAGAATCTCCTCCCTACGTCCAGTGTCAGTCTCATCTGTATAATGAGCATATAGCAACAAGGTAGTGGCCAACTTTGATGGCCTTAACCGTGGAAGCTGAGCTAAGGAAAGGAATGAACTAGACTTACGACCTGGAGATGTACTGCTTTCTCGTTTCACGCTCTCGGCCAGGGTGAGCATAGAGGCGGAGGATGTTTTCCTTCTCAACATCTTCATCTTCCTCATCATCTTCAGCCCATCCTTCACGCTTCCGCTTAAGACTTTTCTGGCGGCGGGATGCTTTGGGGTACGATCCGCCTTTCTCGGTGGAACCCAAAATGGTGTCGATAGTTTGATCGGCGTTATGGTTGACCTTGGCGGCTGTCTCCTCCAGGTACTGAAGGCATATGTCTGGGAAGACGCTGAGAACTGTGGCCGCACAGGCGCGTTTGTCGTGGTAGACTTGCTCCATTGCTGCGCTAGGAGGCTCTTTCAACCGATGATGTATCACAAGTCCATGAGTGAGAACAGTTTTGACGTGTTGCGCGACCCTTGGCAGAAATCTAGAACTCCTTCGGGCAACAATGTCGTTTGAGGCGCGAGCGATTGGTTGATGTGCCTGGACTCTTCGAAGTCGACTATGCTTTTCATGATCAGCAATCTTTCCACTTTGACACCATTTACTCAGCAAGGCAAACATGATAGGCAAGCTAGAAAAGTAGCGTTGAAATTGGACCCAAAACCAGCCCAACAGGCTCATTGTAGAGAAATGAGTACAACATAGCCGAATGAACAGGAATCTTGTTGGTAAACGTGAGCTCGCTGATGGAGGCGCATGAAGGGTAATAGAGGGAAGCGAGAAATGAGCCCAACACACTTGCATTGAATATCGGGAGCCACTCACACCTTGCCCGCGAAATTCCTCGGTGCGTCCGCCCATAAAGCTTGTGAATGAGTCCCCGGGAGTGTATGGGAAGGATTGGGCCAAGTAGGAAGGAAGGTTCAGGGTAAATGAGCAACCAAAGAGGCTATTCGCGAAGAATAGCACAAAATGGAAGCGCCACCAAGCCTCGAAATGAGAAGGAGGAGAAAATTGACAACAAAGTGCAGCCTACTTACCTGCGGACAGGAGATGCCACTGCGGACCTTTTCGTCTTGGATTTGCCTCCTTGACGCGAAACGAAGGAGGTGTGATCTAACGGTGATGGTCCGACCGAGACTCGATGTTCGGAAGAAAATCGATATTCGCCGTAGGAAGTGAGGTGATGAAATATGGGATTGCGCCGAGCAATGGGACGGGAAGTGGGAAGTGGGAGGTAGAAGGGTAAAAGACGGGAGGGTTGAAGGTGAGAGAGAGAGGCGGTAGCGGATCGAGGTGGGTGGTGAGATGCCGTCCTTGACGTCCTTGACGATAGGCAGGTACGGGCAAGACCAGAACCGTCGTGCCTTGCGCCTTCCCGAGGACCCGTTTGGTTCGAAAAGGTGTTTTTTTTTTCTTCTTCTTTTTCTTTTGCTTACTTCTCTCTCGTCTTTCTTCTATTTGACCCCTCTTCCGTTTTTGCCTTCCAGAGGCGAACGTTCTCGCCAAACACCTGTGTGCATGTGGCTTATGAAAATAAATAAACAAAATTCACCTCTAGGATGCTCCAATATCGAAGGAAAGAGTAACCTGGAGCCTCGCAGCCTTCTAAACGGCCTTCACCTTCTCATCTGCCTACTAGAATAAAAAATCCTCACCGTCGTTCGATAGCCTGGGAATCGCCTGACCCCGTCTGACCGGACGATTTTACCCCTCGCTCCCGGTGCGCTTCGCCTTGCCGCGCTTCTTTCGCTGCCTGTCTCACCTCACCTAATGGTATTTTCTAAATTTTTCCGTTCTAGTTCTGTCGCTGAGTTATAAGGCTTCGATAAAACGGTGACACGCAACTTGGCGCCCACGAAGTCGCGATTCGCATTGTCGGTCAAAGGTGAAAGGGAAGCATGAGGTGACGTTAGGAAAATCATCTGGACCTGACTTAAACCGATCGGTGGATCGTCAGATGGCCCCGGGAAGTTGGACAGCACCCCCGGCCTCTCCTTAGCGCAAATCTTCAGCAGGGGAGGTCCTGGGAGATGGCTCGAACGGGTGCGCATTCCCATACCGAAGGTGTCATTGGGTGCCTCTTGTCTCACTTACTGTCACTGACATGGCGACCGCTCGTATCAATGAGTACCTTGAGTGGACAGACGGATAGACGACGATGGTCGATGACCATATGCTTCTTGGGATGCGGAAGGTTTCACATTCGTACTATGGTATCTTCTATCAAATACAGACCATCGCCGATTCCTCTTCTGATTTCATGATGTATCAGGCTGTGAATGCAGTTACTTCACACGCTGACACCTTCTCTTCTATTGGATGCTATGTCCACTTCTCAAAGTGATCAGGTGCTCTTGACTTGACCGTACATACACTAGCAGAGTCGCAGAATCAAACCCTTCCAGTCGGGCCAGCGCATCTCGGCATACGAGCTGAAGAAGGAATAGTCCTCCATTGGTGGCGATAGCTAATAATGCCCCCATCTATGCATCTTGCGACGAATAAGGATGGTGGCACACCTACTGTACTACAGCCGCCTGCCAGCTGCCCAGTTTTGTCCACGACTCTCAAATCCCGACGCACAGTGATGAAAATCCTCAAGCGGTTTCCCGTCTTGCATGATCTCCTTCGAGCCTAGATGCAGATGCACTACTCGTAATCATCGTCCGAGGCCACGAAATCGTCATCGTCGTCCTCATCCTCATCTTCACTCTCAGATACGGGCCTTCGCCGGCGCCTAGATGATCGTCTCGCCACTGCCTTCTTCCTGGGCTTCGGTTTGGCTTTCACTGGTGCAGGAAGAGGCTCGGGTTCGGGTGAGCCTTCCATCTGATCCTCTGCATTTTCCGCGTCTTCCGCGCCATCCGAGCCGTTGCCAGCATGCGGTTTCTGATCATGGCCGTGATCCACTTGCAGGGCGTCATCCATGTCTTCATCTTCGTCGTTCTCATCCACCACTGGGAAGAAGCCAGAGGTGAACCTCTTGGGTTGTTCAACCTCTTCTTCGTCGTGCCCTTCGGGGAAGAAGCCGCCTGCCATCTCTTCTTCTCTCATCTGCATAGCTTCGGCGTCCACCTGGTTCTTGTCTCCTTCTTCCTCGGCGTGAGCATCTTTGGTAGCCTTGGCCGCCCCGTGTTTCTGGAAAACAGGAACACTGTCGTCGACATGACCATAGTCCTGGCGAATACGCTCCACGATCCTGAGACCTTTCAAGAACTTGCTCCACATACTCAGCGCTGCTTTGCGGCGCTTCTCGTCCTCTTTGCGCGCTCTCTCTGCCTCGTCCTTGCGAATTTCTTCCATAACCTGGTCGTGATACTCCTCGGCTATGACAACGCCTTGAATGACCGGGACGGCCATTCGATTGCCAAACTCAAAGCCCACAACGGCTTCGGCGTAGTCGATCCCGAGCCTCTTACAGACCTTGACGGCTCCTCGGAACGGGACGTGTGCGGCGCCTTCGGGACACATGTGCTCGGCAAAGAGATCGATGTTACTGGGAGGTGTTAGCATTTGAATCCATTCAATGAGCACGCAGACATACCCGTAATTGTTCTTCGGGATGACTCCATCTTTTATAGGCGGCGGAATAATCCAGTCCGTTTGCTCAAAGCTGTACAATCCTTGAAGAACCTTTTCGCCGCTCGCAGCCTCGGCCTCGGCGATCTCTCGTCTCCTGTTGGTCGTAGCCGCGCGATATGGCACCCTCTTCAGGGGCATCTCGCCAGGTTTGGGTGCCCTGCCTTGCTTGTGCCATGTCTCTGCGCTCTTGACGTTGACCACGTCCTTCCTCGAGTAGACCGGTTCTGGAGAGATTTCTCCGCCCTTCCCCTTGTGGAGGAAAGTCTTGACTGGCTTTGCTGTAGGTAGCAGGGCCTCCTCGCGCTTCATGTGACGCTCGAGACAGAACTCTTTAGACTGCTTGTAGTACGCCATAGTTTCGCTACCTTCCTTGACCTCTTTCTTCTCCGGCTGGGCGGGTTTAAGATCTGTCGAGTCCTCAACGTCGTCCTCCTCGGTGAGCGGATGCTTTTGACTGCCCTTGACATAGCCCTTCGTAGCTGACTTGAACCAGTCGAATTGGTCGTATCGTTTTACCTTCCCGTGCCTGTTGTAAATCGGTACCTTTTCCAGTGGCATTCTCGCCCCTTTTGTACGACCTGGCCACAGTTGCTTTCGCAAATAACGAACCGTTACGTCCTTGGCTGTGCCATCCGGAGAGAATCCAACAACATATGCCATGACTTGTTTCGCTTTCTCTGCCTTTCCTCCACGCGGCTCCAGAGACTCTACCAGTTCTCGATTAGTACCGACAATGTTCTTGACGATTGGATCCGCTGGCAGATATTTCTTCGTCACCGGCGAAAGCACTTCCGTCCAATAATGTGGAAATTCCAAGTCCTTGTCAAACTTTTTCGACCTCGGGGTTGACTTTCGTGGGGTCACTGCCAACTCTACGACCGACGCGTCATCGCTGTCCGGATGCTCCAAACCAAGCTCATCATCCGAGTCATCTATCTCAATGACGGCGTTCTTGTTACTGGCTTGTCTCGCTCCAGTTTTTCGTCCAGAGGTTGTTTTTGGTGCCTGCTTCGATGTGTTCTTCACCGGACTATTCTTCGTTGTCGTCTTCGCCCCCCTTTTCGCTTTACCGCGTGTGCCATCTGCCGCCTCACTCGCTTCGTCACTGCTTTTTGGTGCCGAAGCTGCAGTCTGTTCCGTCTCAGGATCTGCCTCCTCCAGCTTCGTCCAGCCGAAGCCAACTGGCTGGAGATTCGCGACCATCCGTGTCTGCAACCCCAAAGCCCTCGAGAGCGCGGTGAAAAGTTGCGATCCCACATCTCGGCTTCCTGTGCAGTCCTGAGCGCATTTCCGAAACCCTTCAAGTCCATTGATCCGCTCTCCAAACTTTTCGTCATCTTTCCCTTCCTTCTCCCAGGCTTTTCGTAACCTACCAAGTCGTTCAGGCGGCATGTATCCCCACTTTCGGATCCCAGGTGCCGTGACGCGGAAGCGTTGCCTCCACCACGCCGCGAGAGCCCTCATAAGTCTGAACAGTGGATCGCCGTGGCTCATGTCGACAGCACCTGCCTCCAGCCTTTCAGCGGCAGCGCCCCAATCCCGAGAGTCGTCGTTTTCGGTCTTCTTTCCTTTGCCCTTTCCTCTGGTCTTCTTCGCTGGTTTGGCCACCTTCGTCGGTGTTTGCTTTGGCCTGGTGACTAAGCCGCTGGTCCTTCTCCATCGCTCTACTTCTTCCCACAAACGAGGCGGAACATGAGACATCATGATCGCCTGGACTTCCTGGTCGGATATCCATGAGTTCCTAATGGCATTGTGCCACAGAAGGTACTGGACGTGAATGCAGTGCGTCAAATTGCGAACCTTCTTTTCACGCTTCGTAGGTCCCTTCTTATCGCCGTAGGGATCAGTCATCGCGGTACCAAGCCCGGCGTCAAGGGTGAGCTGCAGGTCTTTAGAAGTAGTCGGCGCTACTGCCAAGGTGGCTCTCGGGGCAGGAACATCCTCAAACTCGATGTCGTCGTTATCGTCATCTTCAGACACTTCCTCCACCTTGTGACCGTTTGCAAGAGGCACATCCTCGAAATCGCCGTCAGATAAATCGCTCAAGGAACTGGTCTCGTCACTGTCGCTGATGGTATCAAGCGCAGCGCGGCCGACCTTGGATGACTCAGACGTGGTGGTAGCATCTAAATCGTCGTACAACGTCGGCTTTCTGCGACCGGAGCTGGCGGGAGTCTTTCCTTGCCCTTTCGCTACCTGTTGGCGTTTTGGGTTCTGCTTGACCGGCGACTCCTCGCGCGACCGCTTTCGCGATACATAAGGAGGCATTATGTCGCGTTGGTGTCAGGAAAGAAACATGGTCGTAGTTCGGAAGCGCAAGCTCTGAGAAGCTTTGCAGGGGAGATGCGACAGGACCGTTAACAACGTCATTGATTCGCGAGAAACGCGCAGGTACGTGACCCACTTTAGGGGTCCGGGGACCCGCTAGATCGGATCCGATTAAATACTGGGTCACATCCGGGGATCGCCTGGGTCGCCCCTCCATTAGCTCCGGCTCTTCGCCGTTATTTCCATGTCTCTCAAGGAGAGCAGTTTGGATGACCAATATCCACAGAGACGTTTGACTTCCCTCGGCATACTGCGGAAGCTTTATTGACTTTGTGATCCAGCATGCCAAACTAGCTCACATCATAGTAAAATTGCGACTTTGGTTAGTGAGCCGTGGCCCATTATGGATCTTACCCTTTCAGGCTGCAAGTGGCCACGCACACGCTGTACTTGGCGCCAACTCCCAGCGGTTGCCCCGCTGACAGCGACCCGTGGATTGAGGCAACTTAACTGAGCGAAACCCGCCAACTGGCGCCTTCCAGACCCTTCCGCCGCTATTTCTCATCAACCCGACATCGCCATCTCCGAAACTGCCACTCTCAGCCTCGTGCCACCCACTGCGCCCACCTTGAGGTCTACGCAAGCTCAACAAATCTCCGAAGACTGTTCAATACTATAGATAAATAGACAAAGAAGCCAAAAACGTCATCGCAATGGCATCCTCATCCACCCCCGAAGAGACGAGCTACGTCAAGATGGACGAATCCAAAGACGGCTTCGACGAGACCCTCGTCGGCAAACACTGCGAATACGAATACTGTAACCAGCTCGACTTCCTCCCCTTCTTCTGCCAAAGCTGCAAACACACATTTTGCCTCGACCACCGGTCCGAAACTACACACAAGTGCGCCAACGCCGGCGCCTGGGCCGAACGCCGGCGAAAGGCGGAGCTTGCGAAACCCTCCTACGGCCAAGGCCGCCAACTGCGCGATACAGTCACCCAGAAGCCCTGCGCATCACCGACCTGCAAGACCACCATCGGTACCTCGCTAGTGACTGGCGTCCACTGCCCGGGCTGCAATCGCGACTACTGCCTCAAGCACCGCCTGAAGGAGGACCACGACTGCAAGAACCTCGTTCCGCTAGGCGCGCGGCCGGGGTCGCAGATCGACGTCGCGGCGAGGACGAAGAGCGCATTCGACAAGTTAAAGGCTTGGGGGTCTGCAAAGAAGGAACAGGCTGGCAGGGCCCTCCCGAAACCGAAACCCACATCCGCATCTGCGCGCCTGATCGCTGTGAACAATCTTAAGAAGACGGCAAAGGGCGACGATAAGCTCGCGCAAGAGAAGAGAGTCTACCTGTACGTCGAAGCAGAAGCCGCAACCGCAAAAGCAAAGTTCCCCAAGGGAGAGTTCTTCTTCTCCAAGGACTGGGTGGTGGGTAGGGTGCTGGACGAAGCCGCGAAGCGGTTACAGGTGGAGAACCTCAACAACCGATCATCGAATGAGCAAGACAAACTACGAGTGTTTCACGTGGAGGGAGGACGGCTTCTAGAGTTTAACGAAAAGGTTGGAGCTTCGCTTGTCAGCGGCAACACTGTAGTACTGCTCCGCGGTGTTGGGCCGCCGCCTGATCTCATGGAGGTTTAGCGAATGATGATGACTTGATGAATATGTTCATAGTGGCATTTTCCGTATATACCCTCAATTACACACCACACGCCGCCAAATCAAGGGCCGTGCCAATCGCTTCCCTTTATGCCATGTTCCGTGAATTGGAGATTTCCTTCATGCGCCGAGCCAAATCCGATTGAGTTGTGATCCAAATCATCCTTAAACGCCACGCCTACAGTTCCTTTTCCTTTGGTCTCTTCGCCAATAGGTCTTCACGACCGGTGGCTGGTGCGTTGCCAACGAACTCCTTACCACCGTACGACTCGAAGCCCTTGTGGAAGATCCACTCCACGGCGTTCTCGACCGGCTCGTCGAAAAGGCTAGGCAAGAAGGGTACGACAGCGAGGCCGAGACCAATGGGGCCCCAGGTCCTTATCTTCGGGTTCTTTGCGTTCTTGAGAGCTCGGCCAGAGTACCTCACGACGCTGTGGATGGTGAAAGCCGGAAGACCCATGCTGGCAATGCTCTGGAAGATACCTCGCTGGATCATGACTGTCCTGTAATCGTCCAGCGGCGCGACCTTGCCACCCGGAACCACTTCGCTGGGGTGCGTCGCATCTGACACGGCATCCGGCAGTCCCGTGATCTTTGCTTGCCGTGCCGTAAGCTGGAGGTGCGGGTTGAGGACGCGCTGGTTAGCCCAGTACGCCTTGTAGCCTTCGTAACTGACATCGCCGAGGATGTAGAGCCACGAGATTCCGTAGGCGGTGCGGACGAGACCGGGATGCGCGACAGGCCGGAAGGATTCGCCAATATCAGAGGTGTAGGCGACGTATCGATGGGCGGACATCATGATGGTGCGGATTCGTGTCACGTAGGCGGCATAACGGACGTTGGATTCGGTGGACTCGGGCGCACTGTCGCAAGTCAACTCAGCACTCTAGTTCAGTCGCAACGATCGGCACTCACTACCCGTCCACCAGCTCGTCGAAGAAGTTATCCTCTCTGTCTGACTTGTCAACTATTTTTTGCAGCGCCGCTGGCAGCTTCTCACGTGCCGGCAGCTTGTTGGGGTCGAACGTCTTGGCGCCATCTTCCTTTGGCGACTCTTTCGGTTGTTCCGGTGTCTTGTCCTGGCTTCTTCCCCACATGTTGTGTGCTTTTGGTGTTGATGTACGGATTACTTCGTCTGAATCTGAGCTATTACCACCCAGGTTCGCTTTTCGGAGGCTGGCGGCTTTATGTGTGCATGGATGGCGGCAGTGCTGGGGGAGGGGAGCCTAAAGGGTAATGTAGTCGCCCTGCGCCAGCGCGCGCCGGAAACGCCCGCGGCATGAATCTTCTGATGTCGGTTGTGACGTCGGCTGCTGCTTGGTTAAGAAAGGTGCATCGGGAGCTTCAGCCACCGAGTGCACTTGCATAAACTTATCCGTCTGTGGCGCAGCAGCGATACGGAGGTACATGTCGGTGGCTGGAAATCCCCGCTCTCCCGATACTGGCCAGAGGCTCAGAGCCGAAATTGAGGGCCTGACAATCCAGGCATTAGATTCTCCAGCTTCCGAACGAATTTCGAGCTCCGAGTATCGACATCCACGACGAATCTCATCCATCTCCAATTGCCTCCACCTCATCGAACCAATTCACCCCCGAAGGCTCGCAAACCCCCTAATACCGACAAAATGGTTCAGATGTACACTATCGCCGGCCGCCAGATTGGCTCCCACTACGTATGTCGCTATCCCGAGCGCGCCTCTCTGCCTCCGCTGCTCCCTGCAACTCCCGAACCCGGCCCCCGAGCATCATCCCAAGGCTAACCTCTCTTTCCGCGCAGCTGGCCATGGGCGTCCTCGCGACCCTCTTCGGCGGCGCTTCCTACGGCCTCAGCGGCAGCAAGCCCAAGGCTACTGCCACTCCCCCCATCAACGCATCTAGCTCCGACGAGGCCGACTTCATCAAGTGCGTCATTTCCCCCTGGACGGACAGGAATCCCTTCCCCATTTGCTGACGAGGAGACGTAACAGGAAGTTCTTGGACAGCGCGGACAAGGACGAAAAGGCGAAACACTAGACGGGCGATATTCCGGGCGAAGTCAATGGTCTCTTTGCGACCTAGTGTATTCATAGAGGGCTTGGTTGATGGGAATGAAGACATTTTCTGACCAGCAAAAACGCGACGACGACATGTACCGCGAGGGTGACTCGGAAGTCGATATCAGTACGCAATTTTTCACGATCTTTATCCAGCAACAATTGGTCTGGACGCAAGACGGATGATCCAATTGATAGAAGGGATTACCAGGGGACCAATCTGAACTCGTCGTCTTCAAACTCCCAAAACGTTCCCGAGGCAATGACGCCCTTTTCTGAATCTAATAATCGTACAAAGACTTCAGCTCCATCCACCGGTTCTTTGGTGCCGCGAAACCCGTTGAAGGCCGTCTTGCAGTGCCCGGGGCTAGTTGCCCAGAAGACGACTTTGTCATCGGACGACCTTCGTTCTTCGGCCAGGTGGAATTGCAGGGTCATCATGTTCAACGCAGCTTTTGCCATGCAATAGTTGATGGAGGCTGCTGGCGGAAGCTGTATGTTGTGTGAGACAAGTCTGCTACCGAAAAGTGCGGAAAGTGATGTGTGCTTACCTCCCCATTTGCTGTTCTTGTCATGCTGCCTCGAGCACTCGAGGTCATGATGACGCGAGCATATTCGGATTTGCGAAGAAGCGGGAGGAATGCTTGAGTGACGATGAGATTCGAAGTGACACAGTTTGCAAGCACAGAGTTGGTCGCGGACCGGACATCGTGGAGGTTAAGTGATTCTGAGACGGTGACTCTGGCGGCGTTATTGATCAGGACTACCATCATTAGCTGCCCGGATTCGCAGTGAGAAGATAGGTAGTAACTCACCATCTAGTTTACCATACCTCTCTTCAACGATGGTTGCAGCGGCGATAATGCTTCCGTCATCCTCAATGTCGAATGGGAGTACGTCTAAGGCTTCTTGGATACCAATGTCTCTCCATTTGCGAATCGCTTTTTCGCCAGACTCATGTGTGCGACATCCGACGAGGATGGTGAAGTTGCTAAGTCGACCGGCGATCGCCTGAACAATACCAAACCCGATTCCTCTGTTCGCGCCAGTGACAAGAATGATAGCCATGGTAACTGTACTGAAATACAAGATGCTTGGCACCAGAAACCTCCCAATAGACTCTACAATTGCTTTTATATCATCACGCCATGCTTTATGGCGAAGCTCGCTGCGAGTCGATCACCGGACTTAGTAAGTCGTATGGCCGTAAACCCGATGTTGGCGCCGGGATGGCGGAGCATGCTACTGTGTAAGCCCGATACGGCGCCAGTAAACTCTACCCACATCGTCCGAGCCCGTTTCGGCCCCAGTCACGGCAATGCCCCGTGTCGGAGCTCATGGCAGGCCGATCCATCATTAGACGCGGGGACTGATCCGAACCTTTTGCGGTTTATATCTCAGCTGAAAGTAACGGAGTTCTACTACTAAGAGAGGGAAGGCAAATTGTAGGGATTTTCAGGTGTTTGCTGCAAACGTGCTTCCCGTTTCAATTGGGGCCGTAGGGGTTAGTAATTTAGCTCAGCCAAGTAGTGTCAATGATAACTAACTCACCAGAAACAACATCCAAGAGAATATGTGTGCAAACAGAGCATCTTCATCATGACAACCATTGAAGAGAAGAATATCAAGTCTGTTGCGACTCCACTCGAGGTAAGAATATCCTTTACGGCTCGTAATGAGAGTCAACGATCTACTCAGATCTACATGCTCACTGCCGAGTAGATAGGCGATCGTCTCAGTCCGACGCCAGCATCACGTCCCAGCTCAAATAAGGTGAGAACCTCATGTTCCGTTAGAATCTTTCCTGGGTTGCTAAAGAGATATTTTGCAGGCGGGCATCTCAATCATCCAATACGACCCCGCTCTTACGTCCATAATCGGCCCAAGCCCAACTCATGCCCTCCTCCTATCCTCCCTAGACGCCTCAGCCAACGCCTTTTTCCACCGCGGATGCGTATACATCCCCTCCCGAAGAGAGCTATGGACGACCTCCGCCCCACTCGCAGCAACTGACCCTACGCGGCCCCCCACGATCCTCATGTCAAAGGTCAACGTCGAGCCCAGCAAAACCAACGACATGCTCGCCGTAAAATGGGCCAAGATGCGCCCGCCTCCAACCATGCCCATGCCGGCGGGCGGCTGCTTAGTCGGAGAAGACGTCGCCGTGTGGTGTTCCCAAGGAAACATGGCCTCGCAGACGGGCGGCGTGCTCACGATGCAGGCGGGTAGGCACCCGCAGCGCGTGGCGTCCGGCTATTACGGCCACGACTTCAACTCCCCGCACAGCGCGGCCGTCTCGCCGCTGGACAACGGCATCTGGTTCACGGACCCGTGCTGCGGGCACGAGCAGGACTTTAGGGCGCGTCCTCAGCTGCCGCCGCAGGTGTATCGGTGCGAGCCGAAGACGGGTGAGGTGAGGGCCATGGCGGATGGGTTTAAGCGGCCGACGGGGATTGCGATTGACGAGGAGTTTGAGACGGTGTATGTTGCGGATGCTGGTGGTGTGCGTGTTGATGGGAGTCTTGACTTGACTGAGTGAGTTCTTTGTTTCCTTGTTTCCTCGTCTTATTCCCCTTCAGCTCTGACTAAGGTATTTTAGACCGCGGAGTATCTACGCTTTTGATATTGTGAATCGAAGTGGTTCCGTCTTCCTGGCGAATAGGCGGCTGTTCGCCCTGGCTAGGAGAGGTGCTCCCATGCACCTCATGTGCGAGAATGGTAATGTGTGGGCGGCCTGTAGCGACGGCATTGAGATTTGGAGTAATGGCGGTTCATTACTTGGCGCAATTCTAGTTCCAGGCAAGTTTGACCGCTCTGAATCTGAGATTTCATTTTGTGTGCTCCTAAGGATGCTAACATGGCCTCTCTGGCAGGTGGTGTCATGAGCTTTTGTCGCGGGCCAGATGACACGGTATTTATCTGTGCCGAACAGAGGTTGTGGAGGCTCCAGCTGTCTGGTGATCATTCAGTTGCTAGCCCAGAGTTGCTTTGAGCTACAGTGATATAACTATGAAGACTGACATAAGGGTCTGGCTATCAAAAGTCTTCCTGATAACCACGCTTACTTTCAATAGGGTGAGGAAATTGTCGGAAGCATGGGTGTACAGTGGGCCTAGAAAGCAAGGTGGAATTCATGTAGCATCGTAAAACAATTCTTTACTCAGCCCGTAGTGTCTTCAGATCGAAAAACGAGGCACTTGGCTGCAAGATAGTAGGCTGGGAGATGGGGAAGATCCTGAATGTCTACGACTGCCTTTGGAAGTCGATGTGACCGCAGCGAAACCTCAACCTAAACCAAGCACAATAATATTCATCGGTTCTCTGGGAGTATTCAAAACTAGACATATTGAACCTGCTCACGCTGCTTCTTGAGTAATACAGCCATATGAAAGCTGGTAGTTTACACACACGTGGGAGCCTGCCAGCACGACTGATCTCTTCTTCTCATCGTTGTACGTTTACCCTTGAACAGACGCACCATGTTATGAATAAAATAGGATTTGAGCTGCCTGCAAGACACTAAAAAAGGTAACAGCTGATTTGTGCTTCCTGGGCACGCTTCAAAAAAAAACGATATTCACATGGTGGCACAATCTAGTCGTTGTGAGGGACTAAATCTCAGCTCTATCCCGAGGTTTTCTTCACACAAGATCGCAGTGTATTAGACGGTTTAAAGATTCCTCGCTTTGACGACACAAGCCAGTTTTAGCGTTTCACGTGCCGGGCGTACTTGTGTAAAGGACTCGCTCTAGACGGTCAGCATAGCTAGATTGGGAGATATTGAAGACTGAAATCGATTATAGAAGTATGTCCTTAGTAACTATGTAAAGGTTAGGGGAGGCAGTTGTTACGTCATGGAACAATATCAATCTCCTTTTTATCATGGAATATTTTCTTGTCGCAATCAATTGCATACCTCTCTTCATGTAGGTACTAACCAATAGAGAGTATGTGCTTCTCCTGTTTGAACCTATCGTATCGTATCCCAGCTCCTAGCCCAATGATCCAAAGGGTATGGAGGCTCATGCTGTAAACCTCGAGAAACTTCAACAAGTGCGGGAGTCGTCGGTGGCGTAGTTGTTTACGTCAATGTTACGAATAATAGACGCACGAGGAGCAAACCCACAACCAATATGATGGACTTTCCGTTCCAGACCAAGCACATACGACCACACCCATCGGAAAATTCGGGATCCCGTCCGCTCTCCCATAGACAAGCCGATGAGGGCCAGATCAGTAGTTGAGTCGGTGACGATCAGCGAATACCTGGTGTTGTATGTTTTTGAATTTTTTTATTTTTCATTGCCAAATCTGATGGTGGGCGACGGTGATAAAAAGACCACTGTGGGTCGGCGAACTCGATAACCAGTTGGAACGTAAGCCTCAGGGCCTGGAACTATTGTATTCGTATCAATAAGGACTATCTCCATCAATACGTACTCTAAAAACCTCCTTGTCCAGTCGTATCTAGCCGTCTACACACACCGAACTCCTGCAACATCTGCCCAACGACAACCATGCCCCCTATCGCAGGAGTAAAGCAAATAGCTGCTCCAATGATGACATAGAGATAGAACGACGTCTCAATGATGCGGAAATACTTTGCAACCAGCCAGTCTATCGCCCGCTGCATGAACGTCGCCCTGTCAAGAGCATACGCTATCGCGTCGTTCGCACGAATCTTGTAAACGCCGTGGATCTCAGAGGGAAACACAGTGAGCATCCTGATGACCGGACCCATGACGATGCCAAAGATGAGCCAACTGAGAATCCAAACTTGCTGGTAGATAGTGCTGTGCCCGGGGCTAAACCCAGTCACGCCCGCGACGAGGATGGCCGGCATTAGGAGAAGTACCGTCGTGACGGCAAAGTACGACGCATGAGCCGCTTGAGAGGGCCAAAAGGTCCGCAACGGCTCCTTGATGCTGTCGAGGTCGACGCTGGCAACCATGCCGGAGAACCTTCCCCCCAACCTCTTCGCCTTGTCGAGATCGGGGGTGTGGACGAGGTAGATACAGTTATACTCTGGCGTAACAAGAAGCGCAATGAGATTGACGAGAGACATGAACGCATACGGCGCCACAGTCACGCCGAAGGCGGCATAGCCATACCGCTGGAGCTGGTCGCCCTGCGTGCGGTAGACGGTCGTCACGCCCCACGCGGCTTGGCCCAGGGCGAACAACGCCTTGGGGATGTTGTACGTGCTGCCCAGCTGGATGTTGGAGCGATCGAGGTGGGCGGCCCCCGAGCCGGGAGGCGGCATCAGCGGCGTGCCTACGGGCACCTCGACCAAGATGAAGCCCTTGGGCAGGACGCAGGTCCCGTGGATGGTCCGGGAAGAGTGCACCCACCGACCAGCGCCGCGAAAGCGAGAGCGATACCATTGGGGGGTGGGGATATCGTACCTTTCAGCATGAACAAAGTTAGTCACAAGAAAATGCGTATTGATTTGAAATGCTTCAATATTCTAAAGCGGATTCTGTTCAACACTTACCAGCTTCGCGCCCTCTCAAAGTTCATCCGCCTCAAGGACGTTTCTATCCACGAGACCTTGGACCTCTCCGTCTCGTCGACGACCATGCATAGCGCCCCGGCCCTGATAGCCCGACTGAGCTCGTCGCGCCTGACCGTGCCGGCGTGGGAGAGGAGCCAGCGGGCGGCGCGCAGGGAGCCGGTGCTGGGTAGAAAGAGGGCCGTCAGGACGGTGAAGCAGGTCTCGAGGATGGATTCGCCGGGACGGCTGGGGAGGGTGAGGGCGTGGACGAAGTAGTTTGTTGCGTAAAAGATGACAAAGTCGGTCCAGATGGGAGGCGTACAAATGAGTCTTGGGTCGCCATGGTTGACGGTTCCCGGCGGTACGGTGATGGTAATGTTCATCGTCGGCCCTGAGGTTTTGTAGAATACAGACGCATCTCCGTGAAAGTGCAACTTGAGCAAACTGCTTAGATTGAAAGATTTGTCAAAGGAAACGGAGAGGCGGCAAATGACCGAGTAGAGGTTTCGAGTCCCCGGACACCGAGGTCCCGTATACAGAGCGTCTACGTCAGTTAAGAAGAAAGCTCAGCTCTCTTCAGAGACAACTCGTAGCATCGAAGTATTTGCCAATATAGGTGAACGCTATAAGTCGACAGAGCTCATCTGTCCGTGTATCTTGTAAACCCGTCACGCCAGGCAGTGACCTTTGAGGGGGGAGGGGAGAACACATCGTCACCGAGTAAGTCTCAAGCAAGTGGACATGACAAAATCCCGAATTCCCATCACACATGAACGTCAGGGGCGAATAGGAAAGATCCGACGGCTGAATCTACCGAGATGATGTTGAAACGACTTCTCAGCTCAGACTCGTCGGATTGGCTGCTCCCATTCGCCCAAAGTTCAGCAGAGATGGAACAAGCTCCGGCGCATAGAGATGCTGCAGCCGGCAAGACCCTTGCTCCCCGGCAGGGCTTATCTTATCAGTTGCGACCCCCTTGCCTTAGTCAGCAGAAATGCACTTTAATCAGACGCGTCAAGACGCGTCTTCCGCGGGGCATTCCATTTCGAGGAGACATCTCACTCTAGAGAAACCACAGAAACTTGCTTTTCCAACATCTTGGACGCAACAATGGCACCAGCAGCTGTCGAATCCACAAACATGTCTGTTCCCGAGAACCCTACGAAGCAGAATGGCGCTTCCTCTGCCAAGCGCCACGAGGAATACCAGTACCTCGATCTCGTTCGCGAGATCCTCGAGGAGGGCGAGCACCGTCCGGACAGGTAAGTAGAAGGAAAGCAACCCAAAGTAACGAGCACCATGAGTTGACACAGTTAACAGAACTGGCACCGGCACCTACTCAATCTTCGCCCCGACTCCTCTTAAGTTCTCCCTCAACAAGAACGGCGAGCCCCTCCTGCCCCTCCTCACAACCAAGCGTGTCTTCCTCCGCGCAGTCATTGCCGAACTCCTGTGGTTCGTCGAGGGCAACACATCATCGCTCGCCCTGAGCGAAGCCGGCGTCAAGATCTGGGACGGGAACGGATCGCGCGAGTTCCTGGACAGCGTCGGCCTCTCCCACCGCGAAGTCGGCGACCTCGGCCCCGTGTACGGCTTTCAATGGCGCCACTTTGGCGCCGAGTACGTCGACTCCAAGACGGATTACACGGGCCAGGGCGTTGACCAACTGGCCGAGGTCATCCACAAGCTCAAGACGAACCCCTACGACCGCCGCATCCTCCTTAGCGCCTGGAACCCAGCGGATCTGAAGAAGATGGCGCTCCCGCCGTGCCACATGTTTGCGCAGTTTTACGTCTCGTACCCGCGAGCCCGCGGCGCCACGCCCGCAAACGAGGAGAAGCCAAAGGGCCACCTCCATTGCCAGTTGTACCAGCGGTCTTGCGACATGGGACTCGGCGTGCCCTTCAACATTGCCAGCTACGCGCTCCTGACGCACATGATTGCGCGGGCGTGCGACCTGGTACCGGGAAGCCTCACGCACGTCATGGGCGACGCGCACGTCTACGCGGACCACGTGGACGCGCTCAAGGTGCAGCTGGAGCGGGAGCCAAGAGACTTCCCGCTGCTGGAGATCAACAACAGGGAGCCGGGGTGCAGCATTGACGGGTGGAAGGTTGAGGACTTTGTGGTCAAGGGGTATGAGCCGCATAAGACGATTGCCATGAAGATGTCTGTGTGAAAGCGACGAGGTCTATGCGTTGCGGCGGGGGGGGGGGGGGGGGGGGGGGAAGGGGGATGACAGTTGTTGTTTTTTGTTTTACTCTTTAGGGAGGGAGGAGGGGTCTGATTTTTGGCCCTTTGGTTGGCTCGGCATTGGGAGTTGGGATCGGAACTTGCATTAATGAAGTGCAACACACCCTCAGCATGTGGCATGAATATGAGGGAGAAGCTGTCAGCATTGAAGGAAAAGTAGGTAGCGTATTTTCTTGTCCAAGGTAAATAGACTTGTGGGAATATCAACCAGCATTGAATGGCAAGCTTGCTCGACGGAATAACTGGCCATTTCTGTGGTGACTGAAGTACATTGGAATTGATTCACGTCGGATCATCAACTTCGTTTACTGGCATTACGCCGAATGCATGTCGGATTCAACAGAGTGATCCAATTGCAAAACGGATATGAAACTTATCCGTAAATGACAGCTGCGAGTTGATGCAACCCACGCAGAGAAGCTTGGGCCAGGCACCCCAAACGAAATGTCCGGGCGCCTGGGACTTTTTTTGCTTCACGGAGCCCAAAGATAGGTACTTTGTAAGGTATGGGTAGCAGAGGGTAATTGGCGGTACCAGGAGTAGCTAGCTCATTGGATGCATAAACAAGTGACATGCAACCTTGGCGGATCTCCCTCGAACCGCATGTGCTGGCTGAATAAGCCGTGCTACAATCCTAATTCGTACGGCCCTCGCTTCGCTTGCAGCTAAACACTTGCGCTTTCCCACATTTTCCCTCTCCCAGCTTGCTCCCTCCTCTTCCTTAACCAAAACTCCCCCCCTTCAACCACTTCGTACACGGATACAACGATTCTCCCAAACCACACCACGACACCCAGACCACCACTGGCGGCCCCCTCGGCCCCCCCTTCATCCGATTAAACACCCTCCCCCCGCGTCTTGCACATATTCACATTACCTCAATACACGGGCTTTTGTCCACCGAGCGAAACCCCCGTTCGTCGCAAATCGCGGTTTTCGGTGGTGGTGGACGCGCGCGTCGAGCATCGGGAGGATAGTCACCAAAACGGAAAAGAGAGAAGTTCCTTCATCCACCATGTCGGACCACGACCACACCCAAGACGTACACCACGACGCCGCCCACGAACTCCACCACCCCTCACAACAACCCGACGTCCTCCCCGGCGGCCCGGATCCGGACGTCACCGGCAGCCCCGTCGGCGGCACACCCAAGGAGCGTCACTCCCTCACTCTCGACCAACGACGCGCCCTCCGCCGCTGGGCCAATGCCCAGACAATCCGCCCCAGCCACAAGGCCTGCATCGACTGGTTCTACGCCCAGTATGGCCAGCACATTTCCCAGTCCACCGTCTCCCACTCCCTGAGTCCCAAATACTCCCGCCTCGATGGCGACAACCCCCAGCTGAGCGGCAGCCGCCTGCGCTTCGGCAATTGGCCCGACGTCGAGAAGCTCGTCCTGCGATGGTACCAGCAGGTCCAGGCCACCGGCCGCCACCCGACCAACGAGGAGCTCGGCGAGAAGGCCAAAGCAATCTTCACCGCCCTCCCGCGCTACAAGGACGAGACGCCCCCCGAGTTCTCCCCCGGCTGGATCCACCGCTTCAAGAAACGCTACGGCCTGCTCATACGCCGCCAGCGCCGCCACGGCGACGGCGGCATCAACCCGGCCGAAGACATCGCCTACCTCGCCGACTGCGTGCCCCGCCTCATGGCCCTCTCCGCCGAAACCTCCCCCGCCGCCATCCGCGAAGCCATCCTCCGCGCCCTCGGCGTCGAAGCGAGCCTCCAAGTATGCGCCCTCGTCCGCGACGAGGTCCTCCGCCGCCTGAGCGCCGGCGGACCCGCGACGACGAATCCCATGTCCCCGACCTCGGCCGTCCAACATACCCCCGACCCGCACAGCGCCGACACAAGCCTCGTCGGCCCGCCGCCGCCACCACCCCCGCCGGGAAGCGACACGCCCATGTACGGCGACGAGGACCCGGACATTGTCCTGCAGAACGCGCTGCGCCAGCTGCAGCAGGAGGAGGCCGAGGCCGAGGCGACGGCGGCCGCGGCGAGAGAGGAGCGCGAGCAGCGGGAGCGCGCGCAGGGGACCGCTGCGGCGGCACTTGCGACGCCCGCCGTGCAGAGGGTCGTGTCTGCGTCGAACCGGTTCATGCCGTCTACGCCGGAGCTGAACCTGACGCCCATCAAGAACGACGACCCGGTCTCGGCCAACGAGAGGCCGCTGCGGTGCCCGTTCTGTGTGAACCAGCGTATGCTTAGGACGATTAAGGAGGCTGTCGAGCATATGTCTACGCACGTTGTTGTCTAGGGAGATTCGATTGCAGAAGACTGGGAAGGGTATTGAAGGTATGGTAAGGGTTTAGCGAAAGGGAGCAGAGTGATTATCAAACGGAAAACGAAAACCTCCCCAGCGAGGGATATTCCAGTAGTTGGTAATCCATATTTCGGGTTTGCCGACGTATATCAGAAGGATTATTAGAAGGCGATGGACCAGTCACCACTTTCACAAAACGAAAAAAGGCTTTTTGCTGTCGGATATGGGAATGCAGGTATCAAGGGAGGAAAAAGCACAGTCACGTTGCGCGTGTGTAGTTGTGTATATAGGTGTATGAGTGCCGGGGGCCTGAGGGAGTTGCTACTTTTTGTAACCTATTCTTACACAAGGTATCTTAATGATGAATCGTATGAACGCCATTTACTCTTCGACATAAGGTACCATGCAGCTAGTCTAGCTAACATTACCTGCCACCTACCTGTATCTTGGGACTCGTCCTGTCCCAATCACCTAATCACAACACGCAAAAAGACGAGAAGCCCAGCCCCCTACAAGAGGGGCCCACGAAAAGATCCTTCCAGGCCCATACCGACCTCTGCCGTCATGCGAAATGAAGCAAGGATGTTTTTTTTACAACAAGAAACGGGACTCGAGCCCGTGATCCGTAGGTGCGGCGCAACTCAGAAACAGAGATGACCTTCTCCGCTACACTACGGGCCTTGGTGATGGCATGAGGTATTGCTATTCATTATAGAGGGTATCGAGGGCGAATGAGAGGTTGGAATAAGCTGGAGACGGGTAGGTTCTGATAAGTATTCATCAGTGGGGCGAGGCGCGGACAGCAGGTTGTTTAGATACACGTCTATGGCTCGTGCACATGGTTCACATCCTCCTCACGCGTATCAGGATTAGGTAGGACTTATTGAACAGGCTCGTCTTGATTCATCTCTGGCTAAAATACGGGTATAGGGCCCGTCCCTTGCCCATCTGTCCGAACCTCATCCTCATTCGTCCTCACGTTCGTTCGCTCATCATCAGAACCCCCCAGAACCGGTCTTCCTTCCCGTGCACTTCGCCCGAGTTCTGAGGACCAAGCCACCGAGGGGAATCCCAGTTGAGAAAGGGTCTCGTGCTAAAATAAAAAGAATTGTGACAGCTCAAGTCAGCCGTCTAACCAATGAACGCCCGCCAATGTCCTCTCTCCGTGGTTCTCGTGGTGGAAACAAATCCGTCTTGCGTCTGTTTGAGAAACTCTTGGACAGATATAAACCCTCGAGGGCTGTATCAATACTTCTTTTTCCCCATCATCAACGTCAATAACCATCAAAAAGAAAATCGTAAGTGGGGACCCTTTCGAGGGCCAAAGAAGTTTAAGAGAAAGAAAAGGGAGCGTAGCCGCTTGCGCGAAGGAGAGTCGATCCACTGGCGCATCATGGTCGTATATCGAGTCCAGCTACTAAGAGAAAACAATATAGAAGTGAAAAATCAGCCATCGCCTGTGTAATAAGACAGTAGATAGCAACGCGTCGCGTGCGCTGGGAATCATGAAGTGAGAATGCAATGGCGGGTGGGGGGTATGCTTTTGTCTCTCAAGTAGTCGTGAAAACCATCTAGGAAAAAAGTCCGAGCTGAGTAGCACCTTGTCGAGCCTTAGACCTGCTCGACGTAGAGGAGGAGCTTCTCGTTCCTTTGCAAGGCGTAGTCCAAGTCGTTGTCGCTCATGAGGTTGGGCTTGTCGCCGGTGGGTTCGTCCTTGTAGAAGAGCTGGACTTCCTCGCCTACTGGGATCTTGAGCCTGTCCACAATCTTGTCGTACAGCTGCTGGAAGGAAATGTCTGTCGCAACCCGGATCGCGATGAGATCGCCGTTGAAGTAGAGCTTGATCTTCATGGCTTGAACTTGACCCTGGCCGATGGCAGGAGAAGGCTGTGACTGCGACAGAGATGACGGCTGCCGGTTCATTCCGGGCTGGCCCATCGCTCGTTGCTGAGCACCGTAACCATTGCCATTCAAGTTATTCTTGGAGGATTGTCGTGAAGCCGCATCTGCTGGTGATTCGTTCGATGAAGGCTGCGAGCCGCCCGATAGTCGGTATTCGTCGCTCGGCGCATTGGGGTCCATCTCGTAGTCGCCTTCTCTGGGGGCGAAGAATTGCTTGACGAGGGTACACCTTGCAATGTAGGCAGGCTGCGCGAGGAGGTTCTTAACGTAGGCATCTAGGTTGTGTAGCCGGCCTTCCGTGATTTGATCTGTCACATAGTTTACCGGACCAGGCATGTATGGGAGTGTACGCTTTTGCGTGCCGGTGTTTCCTGCCTCGGCCGGGAACTCGGTGAGCAAGGCAATCTGGAAGTCGTAGAAGTCCTCGTAGTATCTGGACAATTCCCAGTGACGGCCATCCTCCAGCACTGCTTCAATGACGAACCAGTACTTGTCTTCCGCAAAACAATACCTCGGAATACGGGCTGAGATGGGAGCGTAAAGCTGCGACGCTGGTTTGGCGTAGGGACTGGGTTGAGCAGCTTGCTGAGAGTTGCGTGATTGCTGGTAGCTAGCTTGTTGCTGCTGCTGCTGCTGCTGCTGTGTGGCATGCGTTAGCCTCAAGGTTTCCATGATAGAACGAGGAGAAACGTACATAGTTGGCACCGTTCTGTGAACTGGTGCGCCCGCCTTGTTGAAGACTCATGCGTTCCATTCCTTGCTCGATGGAGCCCTGTTGCGGTGCACCGTTGTCGAACTTGCCCAGTGTGATGCTGCTATTCTTGTAGTCGGCCGCCATCTTCTTCCATTCTTCGACCTTGGGGATGCCGGCCTTCTTGATTGCCCCGGAGGCGTCTCCGACAGCGGTGTCCGTCGCCATATCGCGTATTTCGACAAAAGATACGGGTATCAAGCCGGGTCCTCCCAATCTGCCGATAGGCTTGGCGACAAACCATTCGGGGTTTGATTGAGCAATGACGATGATGGCCTCACCAGCCTTGGCCTCCAGCTCGTCGGCGCGCTCTGCAACAAAGTCGTACATGACGATACCATAGACCATCGCGCCGGACCTGCTGCCGGACCTAGACATACGCTGCGTCGGCTGAGTTGCGGGTGGTGATTGCATTGCGCCGGGAGGCGGCGCAGCCTCGGCATAGCCGGAATCGTGATCGGGGTTCTTGGAAATTGTCGGAGACATGGTTGGTGGCCGGGGCATAGCACCGTCGGACTGGCCACTATCTCTTTCGGTTCGGCCTAATGCTTGGAAAAAGGCTACAGGTACGAGGCCGCGGGCGTCGGGCAGTGCTGGGTTGCAGGCTTCGTACCAGTCGGGGTCGTTCTCTCTGCCGATGACGTGGAAGAAGTCGCCGCGCGAAAAGCTCAGCTCTTGGTTGGACTGGGCTTCATAATCGTATAGGGCTCGGATAACCTGGTAGGTGGATTCCAGCGGTCAGCATACGGAGTAAATGCGATTGCGTAGTTGTCAGCTTTCCCCCCACCATACGCATACGCGCGTGGTGGAGGCCCAGGCGCATGGGGCAGCATGGGGATTGAGGCATCTATCAGCACATACCTTCTTTGGGGGGACAATAGCAACAGCAGACTTGGGGGCAATGTTGACTTTGGCATTATCCTTTTCGCCCTTGATGGACCGACGGAGGGCCTGCATAAGGTGAGGGACTGTCAGTAAGTGATCGGAAAACCGATTTCTGGACATTGATTCGCGATTCATCGTGGGTATGAGCATGGGCGCATGCGGGGTTGTTCATATACGGCGGAAAGTGGGAGAAAGGGAGCGCAAAATGTCGCAAAAGGGCTGAGGGCAGAGATACAGAGAGGTAGAAACAGAGCGCATGCAAGATTGTGCACCGGTTTCTTTTTGGGGAGGATGTGAAGTTGTGAGAAGGAATCGCAAGAACACAAGAGTGGTGTTTGGTGTTTGGTATTGGTGGTGGTGGTGACATGCGCGCGCACACGACTGGGTTTCTGGAAAGAGGGAGAGAAACTGTTGATAGGGGTGGGAAGAGGGGGAAGAAGATGGATGGAAATGCGATGCAAGAAGCAGAGAGAGAAAGAGAGAGAGAGGATTGCACAACAGCAGGTACCAGGAGGCAGGAGTGTGGAGGATGACGAACCTTCATCTTGTGTGACGCTCCCTCACTTTGGGGAGGAGAGGACAGCTGCAGATTCTGGCAAGAATTAAGTGCGATGCTGTTGCGAAAAGGAAGTTGAAGTGGGAGTGGTGACGGGGGGCCCTGTTGCACCACACGGGAAAGTATGAAGTGGTGGTTAGGTACTGAGTGACTGACTGACTACTGACTGATGTTAGGCAGGTGCAGGCAGGTCAGGTCAGGTCAGGTCGAGAGAGGGAAGATAGGGATAATTGGGTGGGAAATGCTCCTTCCGCCAGGCAAGGCAAGGCAAAGTAAGGAAGGCAAGGCGTGATTGGGCGCAAACCAGGGGGTCTTCGTAGGGGGTGGGCGTGGATTGCGTGGATCAGTGTGCAACTATAAGCGACACTGCGACAAGACGAGACCTAAATGTCGATGTCCGTTGAAGGTGCAAAGTAAGTGGTGCAAGTATGAGTGTGTTGCAGTTCCAGTTGCTGTTGCTGTTGCTGTTGTTCGTGTGTGTATACCAGGCGGGATTCTCTCCAAGAGATGAAGGAGGAGAGGTGTTGCTAGGTTGGGTTTAAGTTGAGAGTGTTGTTCCTTCCACTGATGGCTTGTTTTCTTTTTTTTCCCTTTTTTTCTTCCCTTCGACGGAGGGAAGGAGAGAGGGGGGGGGATTGATTGATTGGGACTGGTAGGTTACCGGGACCAGGCTGATGCCAGTGCGAACGGGAAGGAAGGAGGGGCGATGATGACTGGGTCGCACTTTCCCTTCGGATTGCGTTCCTTACTTGAGTCGTGGGGGAGGTGCGGTTGGTGGTGGAAGGCACGGAGTGGTGGTGGTGGTGGTGGTGGTGGTGGTGCTTGCCGTGGACCGTTGGGCTTTCTCTGGAAAGGAAAGCGACGGGCTGAGAAATGGTGCGGCAGGCGGAAAGATCGACGGGTAAAAGTCGTTGGTTCCTTCTTGAGAATGTTCTTTATCCTCCCAAGGTCTTCTTGTTCGACGTCGTCGGCCTCGGTGTTTGGCGTAGGTTTCCTTTCCTTGCCTTTCCTTTCTCTTTTCTTGCACAGCTCCTTTCTGCTCTGTCCGTGCGACTTTTCGATCTTTCTCTCGTCTGCCCGTTTGTGTGTGTCTCTCCAATACGCTTTTACCACGCGATCAGTTTCGACAATGTCCTTCCGAGTTTTCCGCTTCGTTTTTTTTTTATTTTCTTACTTCACACGGAGCAAAAAGAAGAAAAGAAAAATCGTTTCCACTGGATATCGGGCTGGCGCAGTACTTCGTGGGATTGTCTCTCCTCTGCTTTCTTATTCGGACTCGGAAGACGGCTGTATCCTTCTCTCTTTCTCGGCCTCCGAAACAGGGTGACCCGCGACTCAACTCGGGCTACACGGTACTCGGCGGGGTCGCAGGGGTCGGATGTGAGGTTGGCAGATGCACAACTTCTCGTCGTTCCTCGATCAATGACTGTCGTCCAAGACTCCAAACTTGAGCTTTTCGAATGCGCGACCAAGTGCAAAGATTGCGCTGAAGTGCGGCGTGCGGCGGACTTGCTGCGAGTGACCTGGAGGGTTGAGAGGAGGTGAGGGAAGCGACTCGAGAGAAAGCGGCGCGGACGGACGAGGGTAGAAAAGGCTCGTTCGCCCAACCAAGCATCTGCCCAAGGTGCCTGGGTACCCCGTACTCACTACCACCTACTTTACTCACTTTACATTACGGAGCGCTGCGGCACACACACACACACACACACACACACACATACACACTATGACCACACTCCAACGCCCGGGATGGACTCCCATGGCCCAAATCCCACCAGACCAGACGAATCGAGGGGGAGACGGTTGGAGAGGGCTTGACTGGTGGGACTCGCCGACGAGGGTCGCCGACACCCCGGTCTGTACCCGTCTATCCAGTCTGCCCACTGGGCGTGGGTGGGTAAATTGCGCTAGGGTTACGGGTGGGTGTCCTGCCCTCCAACGAGGGTGTCAACTTGCAGATGGCTATGGATGGTGGCATGCGTCTCGCCACGGGAGTATGTGGGCAAAGGCCCTCGTGCGCCGTGTCTGTCACCTTGTGTGCCGCGTCGCCTGCCTTTCGCATGCTCTGCTGCCAGGCTGTGCGAGACAATGCTACTGACCATCAACCGTGCTTCAAGTTCATGGATGCCATCCATAGGAGAATGTTTCTTCTTCAACCTTCGTCTACATTTGCTACAGCCTTTGGCGCACCAAGTCTCCGACAACCGTCACTTGGCAGTACACTTACACCATCACAGCTAGAACAGCAGCCACCGTCAGAGATCGCTCCGTCTGGTAACGCAGCAACAGCAAGTTCGGGAGGCACCCGGTGACAGTTGACTGACAGACCAGTCCGAAGACATCGAAGCCGTCGCCCACGAGCACGGAGACTAAAACCGTCTTACGTACGGACCGGGCATTGCGCGAAACCACAGCGGGCGTGGTGGCCCAGCAGCAGCAACCCTCAGATGGAAAGCTTAAATCACCCCCCAAAAGTCTGCCATGGAGATAGCAGTCGGGAAATGTCACGAGAGCCGATTCTACACCATACAGTCCTCCTTCCACTCAACGGAACCACAGAGAGCCAGCTCTCGGTACGTTGGATGTCCAGTTGTCAACGCCCGATGGATGCCTTTGGTCGCATTCTTTGTGCGGCATAGTCATTTCAGGGCCCAGGGACTAGCAGCTCGAGTGCCAGTCGCAGCTTGCAGCTGCATGTCTCGCCCTTCTGCTCCCTAAGCCTCATACTGGAGGCAGCCACCGGCTCTGAGCCGAAGCACCATACCTAGCTCGAATCTCTGGACGACAGTGAAGGGTCGCGACAGGCCAGCTATAGCAGCACAAGACTCGGTGCGTAGTGCCTATGACGACGGCACTGGATTTCATCCAAGGGCGCTAGAGCAGCTAGCGATGGGGATACAAGACAGCTACCAGTCAGCGAGCATGACTTTTACCCTTCGACGACAAACTAGAATCCACCTTCTTTCTCAGCTATCGTCCGAGACGCCCTCGTTTAGCGTATAGCTGTCAGCTTTCCAATAGTCTTGTCCTTCTCTACAGCTTACCGCAAGAAGGGCTGGAGCTGTGCAACCATCAACAAGCCAATCTGCCGCAGCAGTCGACATCGCACAGCGAGAAGCCTGGCTAGCGGTTGGGCCGCTTGCCGTCAATACTGTCATACCCTGGACCCCATCCCCTGAGGGCATCCTCCCCGCGGTTGCTCAGCCTTTGCCACTGTCTCCCTGGGCGCGCACATGGCAAAACCTCCACTCAAACACAGACCTTTTTTGGATTTTCGCAAACACCCCTCCTCAAGCTAGATTGAGCTTTGCACGCCCCCATGCGACACATCAGTTTACAACCAATGACAAGAGCAAAGAGCTTTTGACACTTGCTTTTGCATGAACTGACCTCGCTCTTGAACAGCTTATCCCGTCTCTGGCAGAGTTGGATGAGCTCCCCCGGATGGCAGTGCGACGCAGGGGACTGGTCAAGAGATGGAAACTCATGGCGGCACCTTATCGATTAACGCAAAGACTCCTTCGCTCCCTTGTGATCCCGAGCAATGCAGGAAGAAGGGGTATCCTGTGCCCCCCATCTATCGGCCACACTCTAGCAGAGTTCTTCCTTTTTCTCAATCAGGGACAGCTCACTTGAACAAATGCCTCTTGGTTAGGACCCCTGTACGCGGCGGGCCCGGACGGTAATTATCTCTTTGGGACCCATTGAGTTCCAGCCTAATAAGTTCAACGGCCTGGACGCCACTTCGGCCTCAACCCAACCTACGGTCGAGCCCTGTCACACGGAATCTTTCCCCGGCCACCAGGCCGAGACAACACGGCCTATCCGTACCTTAGACCTCTCCGGTATAACGTGAGATTGCGGCGTCTACCTGTACGGCCTGTTGTTGTCGCGATTGGTGTCATCGGAAGAGCTGCACTTCTACGGCCAGGCGGTAGGCTTATAAGTCTTGCGCAGACTACGACGTTGTCACAGATCTCATCGGTTGCCATGCGGCTTTCGGGCGGCCTGGAACGCCGCGGATGACGCAGCATATCCCACCAAAAGGTGCTAGCAAGCAATTGCATGGCAAATATCCCGACGTTTATTACAAGGGTCTCGTGGATCCAGTGCGATCCACGCCAAGCTGGCATCGCGAATCTTTTTGATATCGTCTGTTGATACTGGTCATGCGGACATCGACAGGCCAATATGGGTAATGGCACACATTCGACTCCTTATGCGCATTCCAACCCTTCTTACAATGGCCTCCACCGTCGAGACGGCTCAAAACCTAATCGGCTTTTTGTCTGAACGACATGGCGATCTTGCCCTACCGTTAGAGGTTCAAAGCCTGCGGAGTGAGGATACACTGGTCTTCACGCTAGCAAAATACGCTTGCGAGGATTCAAAAGTCTAGGCCAGGCCAGAATGCGTCTTAGCCAATTGATCAGCAAGGAATGGAGGACCAGCTTACGCGCCGACGCGTCGGTTCAGGCTTCCTCAATTTGGCGCGCGCATCCACAAAAACAGTCCTGCAGCCATTGTCAACCAAGTGAACCAACAATGTCGAATCGCATTCCGCCGCTTTCAAAGTGCATTTTCTTCCGTTGGTGCCGTCAGATACCTACCGGCCCTTTCTGCGAACTACATGTCAGGGCCAACGCCGTTGTACCTTGCATAGACGTTGCCCATGCACGCCTCATCAGAATGATTTCATCTACCGGCTTCCCTGGCACCGCTACTCTTCCCAGTCCGTCCCAGGTTTCCGACGCCTCGAATAGATTGCTACGTTCTCCATTCCCCCACCCGTGGTGCTCTTGATGGCGCCTTGGTCTTGCCCAGGTCCCAGGTGCGCTAAATGGCTGTTGCAGAGAGAAACCCCGCCAACGACCCATTTCAGTGGGACAGTTCAGGAACGGTATCCTGGCCCCTTCTTGGCCTTTCCACTGCCTGACGGATGTGGCAGGGCTGGCTGGAGAAAAGCTGGATGCTTTTAAACCGCATCTCTCTGCCGCTGATGTCGATCGCTACCGGTGTTAGTTTCTGTACAGCATTCACGGAACGCGGCTGGCGCTCGAGTAGACGCGGATCGAGTTGACGTTGCAGGGGCTCATTTGGGATTACCAAGCCTACGGTACGGACACTCTGCACTGCAACTTGCGCCGGCCCCATTTGGCTCTTACACCAATGCTTGGTAACCCAAAGCAGCAGCATATAGAAGCACTTTAATGGGCGTGACGTAGGACGGAATATTGGCAGCAGAGCCGCGTCTTCTGCCGACCCCACGGCACCATATCCCCCGTTCTCATGCGCACCGATACACAGTTGATCAAGTTGGCCTGACATGTCTCCCGACTATGCTACTTGTCATCGACTCTAGAAGCTTCTCAGATTCACAGCTCCCGGTAAATCGCATCTGCAACAGCGCGTCGTACGTCCAGTGCCATCCATGGCATGCGAAACCCGCTGATATCCAAGCAAGACAATGCGCCAGGCATGTCAAGCCCGATAGCGAGACTCGCATTCCAAATACCCCGGGTCACGTTAACCCACACTTTTGCATTTATCTTGGCTACTACTACTCTACTGAGCTTGCGGAGCAAGGTCTAGCTTTAACCTCGTGCCGCAGTTGTGTTCGGATCCAGCCCGTCCCGTTCGTGGGCACGACACAACTTGAAACTCGACGTCCCATGTCGCCTGAAACGGGGCAGAGAACGGCATCATCACCAATGAAAGGCCAGGAAAACGCACCCATTCTTTGCGACTTAAAGTGCTTTCAGAGTTCCAAATAGGACGGAGAGGAACCCTGGCCCGTCCCTGGTTGATGATCTTCAAGTCAGGGTTGCCTCACATCGGGATGCCCTGGCCAGAAAGTGAGACCTGTCAGCCCCAATCGCGGGGTGAGTGAGAGAAACGGAAGTGCAGTACCATATTCCGGAGCATCAAATACGTAGCGTTGACCCTGAACGCCCAACTAGAATGGCTCATTGGGCCAAGAATCGAATGCCCTGTTGAGATGACGGGCGATCACTTACAGTGACGATGTCTCTAGTCTGCTTCTACTATCATGAGTCGTCGGCTGCGCCAACGGTACCAGAGTGAACGGGCAGACTCAGTAGAACAAGCTGTATTCGGCCAATGGACGCCAATCGTTCTCTCGTCAGTGCCTTAAAAAAGCAATTTCGGAAAGACAGGCTACACCTCTTCACCACCCATACTTACACCTCGAAATCAGGCCGAAACAATCACAGAAAGACAGCCGGCATGCAAAGTCCCGTTCACACCATTCCGTAGCGCCGATCTTCCGCCGCCGACTCGCGGGCTCTAGGAAGGACACCAAGTGCCACTGCCGTTCGGTGGTCGACTCTTGGTAGCGAACGGCTGACTTGGCGCAGGGAGAAGGGATCTCTCGCATGGCCTTGGTCCACGATGCAACACCAGACCACCAGGACGCGTCCTCCTCGGCCCTTGCAGAAGGCGCTCTTCTTTTAGTCTTTGTCGGCCTTCCTCGGAGTGGCAAACCGTGGCGGCTCTTCCCGCGGGACACCACTGTCCCCGGTCAAATCAGGTATTTTGGACTCGGATTCGGCACACGGCAGACGGTCTTGCGGGCCAATGAGTTGTACGGACCAACGGTCTGCCCGTCCAGAAATAGCATGCGCAGTCCCCTTTGACGACCAAGCATAGTATAAGGTAGCTGGGGTTACAGATTGCTCTCGCAACCCTGCTCTCAGTTGAAGAGGTCGCCACTGCTCGAGTGGCTTCACAGAGCATTGCATTTTCAAGAGGCCCGGTATGCGATATGAGACCTGCCGTCTATGTGGAGTATCACTCGGCTGCCTTTCGCTTGACGTATCCCGAACAGGATTCGTCGTGGTTTATACGCGTGTACGAGCATCCAGTGAAGAAGATCTGCCGCCTTCTCAACGAGGATTTAAGCCAGCTCGGCCATACTGATGATACTTGTCGATTTCTGGTGACGTCTTCCGCAAGCCCGGTCTCTATCATGCCAAGCAAGAGATTGCAAAATCTCTCCTCCACCAATACAGAGCAGTACCGCGAGATATGTAAAGTTGTCTTACACCACCAATAGGACCTTCTTCGGCGCTCTACTCTCAGGCGCGAAGCTTCACCGAAACTCAATCCAGAATATACTGTAACAAGCACCCCTATCACCTTGTTGTTTCCATTCGGCCCCTTCCACCTAGCTTAAAAGCTTGCTCATACGATGCTATAGCTTCTTAGCCTTTTACCTTCTTTTGTTTTCCCATGCAGCTAATATCATCCATTACTCCCTCGATGTGCCTGACCATCTAAGCCCGGGATGAAT